ACATCTCCTACATAATCAAAATCAGAATACCCAGTAAACAGTCTTGGATCCTTGTCTCCATATACAAGACCCACATCAGATGTACCTTTAAGGTACTGGAAAATCCTCTTCACAGCCATCCAGTGCTCCTTCCGTGGTTGAACCATGAACATACTCACAACACTAACTGCATATGCAAGATCTGGTCTTGTACGGACCATAGCATACTTCAAACTTCCTACAGTGCTAGCATAAGAAACTCGTGACATATAATCGATTTCCCTTTCAGACATTTCATCACTCATGGTAGGATGAAAATTTACAGCACATCGTATCGATAGTCTTAGCATTAAGCATCTCGAATCTCGTCAAGAACTCTTCAATGTAGGCCTTTTGTGACAAGAACAACTTCTTCTTCGCCCTATCTCTGAAGATCTCCATCCCTAGAATCTTCCTCGCAGCACCCAAATCCTTCATCTCAAACTCAGAACTCAGTAGCTCTTTAAGCTTCTTAACATCACACTTCTTCTTGGCAGCTATCAACATGTCATCTACATACAACACCAGGTAGATATACGATCCATCCTCCGCTTTGCTCATGTAAACAAAACAATCATAAGGACTCTTGTCGTAGCCCAACTTGACCATATAGTTTTCAAACCTCTTGTACCACTGTCTAGGAGACTGCTTAAGTCCATAAAGTGACTTCCTCCACTTGCACACGTTTTCTTCCTTACCAGGAACCAGAAAACCCTCAAACTGTGTCATATAGATCTCTTCTTTAAGATCTCCATGAGGAAATACAGTCTTCACATCAAGTTGCTCCAACTCCAGATCATGACGTGTGACTATCGCCAATAACACTCTGATAGAAGTGTGTCTGACCACAGGTGAGAAAATCTCATTGTAGTCCACACCTTCTCTTTGACTGAAACCTCTGGCAACAACTCGAGATTTATACTTAACTCTCTCTTCTGGTGATTGACCATCTTTTATCTTGTAAATCCACTTGCAAGTCACAACCTTTCTCCCAGCTGGTAGTGTGACCAGATCACATGTGTGATTCTTCTCATGAGATTCCATCTCATCTCCCATTGAAGCAAACCACTTCTCAGTTGCATAACTTGAGATGGCTTCTCTGTAAGTAGACGGCTCGTAAGTGTCCACTTCCTCTGCAACCTGTAGTGCATAACCCACCGTATCTTCAAACCGATATTTCTCTGGTGGCCTGAGATCAACTCTCCTTGGTCTAACTTTAGCAATACTGCATTTTTCAGACCCAACATGTTGATTTTCAGAATTAAAAGACTATGGCTGCTCGTTTGTCAGCGATCGCTCGATCTTTTCTTCCTATGTCGCTCATACTGGCCATCCGTCATCGATCGACACTTAACATCTGACGTCAACCGACACTGTTGATCGGTCATCGATCGACACGGTTGATCCGTCATCGATCGACACAGTTCATTCTACTGCACTTCCTGCAGCTCCACCTGCTTGTCAAAATCCTCCTGCTCTGCTTCTGAGATAGACTCAGCTGAAACTCTGAGCATAGAACTTTCATCAAACACAACATTCCTGCTCATTACAACTCGTTTTTCAGATGGAGACCATTCTCTGTATCCCTTGACACCCTCTCCATAGCCCATAAACACTCCTTTCTTCTCTCTTGGTTCCAGCTTTCCTTCATCAACATGATAGTAAACTATACAACCAAAGACTCTTAGAATAGAGTAATCAGCATACTTGCCTGACCACAACTCATTAGGTATTCGACACTCGATCCCTGTATGTGGTCCCAGATTGATGAAATAACAAGCCATGTTCACTGCCTCAGCCCAAAACCTCTTCTCTAAATCAGCATTAGACAACATGCACCTCGTTCTCTCCAGAAACGTCTGGTTCATTCTCTCTTCTACACCATTATTTTGTGGTGTATACCTGTGATTGTATGATGCCTAGCAATCCCTGCATCCTTACAAAACTGATTGAACTCTGATGAACAGAATTCCAAACCATTATCAGTACGAAGCCTCTTAATCTTCTTCTCAGTTTGATTCTCCACCAGTATCTTCCACTCCTTAAAGCTGTTGAAAGCTTCACTTTTGTGCTTCATGAATGTTATCCAAGTTTTCCTCGAATAATCATCAATCATGGACACAAAATACATGTGACCCTTCAGCGACTCCACCTTGGAGGGACCCCAGCAATCTGAATGGATGTAATCCAGGGTGCCTTTTGTCTTATGAACAACCTTTGGGAACTTCTTTCTATGTAGCTTCCCAAACACACAATGCTCACAAAACTCAAGACTCTTGGTCTTATGACCACAAAGAAGATTCTGCATCCCATGCTCACCCATATGTCCAAGCCTCATATGCCACAACTTGTCCATATCTTCCTTGCGAACCTCTGAAGATGCAATATTTGCTGAACCTAAAACCGTAGAACCGTCCAGCAAGTACAGTGTACCATGAATGAATCCTCTCAAAATCACAACTGAACCTCTGTAGAATTCAGAACCCCATCTCCACCTGAATACTTGAAACCTCTGCTATCCAAAAGACTAACTGAGATCAAGTTCTTGGAGATAGACGAACATGTCTAACTTCAGTCAATGTACAGATTCCACCCTCATGTGTCCTAAGCTTAATGGAACCAATTCCTGCAATATCGCAAGCAAAGTCATTCGCCATCTTGATCTTGCCATCAGTCACTTCCTTATACTCTGAGAATTATTCTCTTCTTGGACACATATGATAGGACGCGCCAGTGTCCAGGACCCACACATCCATAAAATGTGTTTTTTCCATGAGCAACTAACGTTATATGATTATCAGATTTAGCTTTATCCTCGGCTACAGCAGCGGAACAAGTCTGCTTCTTCTTCTTAGGGCAATCTGACTTCCAGTGCCCCTTTTCTTTCCAGTAATTGCAAATATCATTTGGCTTTGGACCCCTTGGAAATGACTTTTTGTCTTTCGACCTCTTGCCTTTTCCAAAGTTCTTTACACCACCTACAAACAATCCAGAAGCTTGGTCATCTGTACCAGAACCTGATGCCTTGTGACCCAACTCCCAGCTATGAAGTGCCGACCTGACTTCCTCCAAACTCACTGTATCCTTACTCCCTATGAATGACTGAACAAAGTTTTCTTAGAAGTTAGGCAGTGATACCAACAAAATCAGTGTTGCATCTTCATCCTCCACCCTAACATCAATATTCCTCAGATCCAACGTAATGGAATTTAAACTATCAAGGTGATCCTGAAGTTGTGTACTTTCATGCATCCTTAGAGAGAAAAGACCTTGTTTTAGAAGTAGCTTCTTAGTCAGAGACTTCGTCATGTATAGAATCTCTAACTTCGACCACAAATCAGCTGCAACATCAACACCAGAAACCTCGATGATGATCTCATCTGCCAAACACAACAAAATCGTTGAATACGCCTTCTCTTCAGTAACCTCAATCTCAGCAGTAACATGTTCAACCTTCTTCCTTGACAACGGAGCCCAAAGACGTTGTTGCTTCATCAACTCCTTCATCTTGATTTTCCAGAGACTGAAACTATTCCTTCCAGTAAATGTATCGATCTTCAAGTTTATCCCAAACATATTATCACCAGATTCAACTCAAAGCTTTGATACCAGTTTGTTGTGACAGATGTGAGAAGATGCCGATTAACAGATTGATAAACAATGAAGAACGACACATAGAATGTGGTTTAATCCACGAGAAAACAAGTACTTTATTTTTGGAGGCTAGTGTTTCAGAGTACAATTCCTGCTTACAGAATAAGGTAAAACTCTAAAGATATATATATATATAAGAAAGTGTTAATGAAACTTTCATATTTCTCAGATTTGACATAAATCGACCAATCCAATGGCTTTTGGATCGACCGATCTGTGTCAGGTCAGATAGACTGATCCATGACTCATGGATTGATCGATCTGTCAAATCGCAGATTCAAAACATATTTCAACAGTGCATATCAAGATATAGTTGAAGTATTAAAGTTAAATAATATATAATAATGTTTTTAGATTAAAAATTTTAATGTTAAAGTTAGAGATGAAAAATAAGATATGATATTAAAACACAAAATTTGGTATAATTTCAATACCAGATTTGGTGTTATGATTGGGGATGTCCTCGATCACTAAAGCATGTCCCTTGCTAGCAGCCTGCGGTCCGAACTAACTTGTGCAACATGGAAGGGGTTTCATGTCTTCTCAGAGACTTACAACATGATTCATGCCATTCTCTATGATAACGGAATGACAAGAGCCATCGCCAATTATCGCGTTGTAGTTAAAAAACTAAGACTCCATTTATTATTAACTGCAAATATAACTAAGCTACGAAAAATTTAAGCCACAAAATCAAGTTTTATATAGAGAAAATAACTAAAATAGAATTAAAAAAGTTTTTATCACAAATATAGACTTTAACAATTAAAATAACCAAAATAGCACTTAAATGTTTTATTAAATATACATTTATATTATTGGGTTAACGAATCTTAGATTTTTTTGTTTAGAGTTGAGGAGTGGAGTTTTGAGGATAAAGTTTCGAATTTAAAAAAATTAAGAAAACTTAAAATTTTCAAAATAAAAAGTACTCTTTTGATCATTTTAATTTTTAAGGTATATTTATGTGATAAAAACTTAAAAGAGGACTATTTTAGATATTTGTCCTTTTTTAAACATTAATTCTAAATTGTACAGGTATATCAATAAAAGCTTTTAAGTTTAATGAAATGAAATCAGATGTTGACCGAAGAATGTGTCGGTATTTGGTCTCATTTACTTTGGGTTTCTAATCGAAAACGAGTCATACAATATAAGTGTTCGATTGTTATTTGCTAGAGGTTGTCGAAGTTCATGCTAATTGCAGATCTAATTGTGTCATTTAAAAAAAAATAAAATATTATTATACAAATAAAAACGGGTATCGTGGAATCCAACAAGATTTCTCTCCTCTATTTGAGTCACAATTTCTTTTGTCGTCTTTCTTTCTTTCTTTAACAGGAAGAAAAAAAAGATTCATTCTTTTTTTTTTCCGTCTCTGTTTCATCGGATCTCGTTTAAAATCTCCGCATCTTCGGTGTTTTCGCCTTTGGTGCCATTTGATCGAAACATGACGATCCCTAACTCCACAGATTTCATGGTTGAAAACGCCGTCTGTGATTTCCCCTCTACTCCCGAGGAAGAGAGACGCATCGTCTCGGAGCTCACCACCGAGTCGGAGGATAATCTCAAGGAAGGAAACTTGTACTTCGTCATCTCCAAAAGGTCTTGATCTTCCTAATTGTTCATAGTCTTTGTAACGATTCTCAGATTTTATTTGGATCAGTCTTGTGACTTGTTTTGATAGATCGTCAGGATGTTTTATCTGGAATTAGGATGCATGAATGTATTAACAAGATTGTGTTAAGTGCAGGTGGTACACAAGCTGGCAGAAGTATGTTGAGCTACCAACCTCAAGCGAATGTTCAAGTGTTGGTGAGCTTTCTGAATCTGCCAGGCCTGGCCCAATTGAAAACAGTGATATTATCGAGGATGCGAAGGACACTAGTGATGATCCACAACTTCGTAGATTGCTGGTGGAAGGGGAAGACTACGTTCTTGTTCCTCAACAAGTTTGGAAAAGACTTGCTGAATGGTGAGCGTTTCTTCTATTACATCATTGGATTTATTTGTTACTCACAAAACTATTGTTTGGTAAAATATGCTTTCAAAGGCATTATCTGTTTTTTTTTTTTGTCTTTCAGGTATAGCGGAGGTCCGCCAATACCAAGGAAGTTGATCTGTCAAGGGTTTTACAGTAGGAGTTATAGTGTAGAGGTTTACCCACTCTGCTTAATGTTGACAGATGGAAGAGATAAAAGTATCACTGTAATACGGTTGGGAAAACAGGTATGGACGCCCCCCCCCCCCATTACTTAAGTTATGCACTTAGTTTTGCTTAGACAAAAACTCTTGCAATTTTCATTTGTTAGGCCCAACTTTGGTTGGTTTCTTACATGTGTTGTTGGTGTTTCAGGCCACTATAAGGGACCTTTATGAGAAGGTTTGTGCTATGACTGAGGTATTGCAAGAAAAGGTGTGTTTTTGAAGTGTTTCAGTTATATATAACTTTTACTGATGAAATTCATATGGAGATGTGTTCTTTTCCTCACATTGATATGCATAAGCAGGCTCGCATCTGGGATTACTTCGGTAAGAGGAAAGGCCAACTATTGGATCCTTCGTCTAACAAGAGTCTGGAAGAGTCAAGCCTTCACATGGACCAAGATGTAAGTATCTAGAGAATTTGTCTGCTACACTTATATGACAAATGTTTGTCTTGTGCGGTATTGTTTGTCATAGAATGATTTGGGTCATTGTTGAGAGGAACTCGTTGGATAATGTGCTACCCCCTTCAGTTCCTTTATCGTAACTCAAACCGAATCACCTTTAACTCGCTTATATTTAATGGTCGGGGTTTTGGTTCAACATTGACTGGTGCATCCCATGCAGATTCTTCTTGAAGTTGATGGGTCCTCGTCATCTCAATTTGCTATGAGCTCGGCAGGGAATGAGCTAGCTCTGGTACCCCTGGAACCTTCAAGATCGCTTGTTACAATTGCTGGTGGTCCAACCCTATCTAATGGTCATTCCACCACGTCTAAGTTTACTCTCTTTCCGAAAATCTCTTCTGAAGATGATGGCTCCGATTCTTTGAGTATTCTTGGAAAAGGAGAGAGGGGAGGATTAGCAGGATTGAGTAATTTGGGAAACACCTGTTTTATGAACAGCGCTCTTCAGTGTTTGGCACACACACCTCCGATAGTTGAATACTTCTTGCAAGATTACAATGAAGACATAAATAGAGACAACCCTTTGGGAATGTGTGTAAGTGTTTGATAGTTAATGCTATTTCTATTTTCTAATGTGAAGGTATTCTTTACACACGTTCTTAATATAATTTCTAACACTTAATTAATTATCCAGGGTGAGCTTGCTATCGCGTTTGGTGAACTGTTGAAGAAATTATGGTCATCTGGAAGGAATGCAGTTGCACCGCGGTCTTTTAAGACAAAACTGGCTAGATTTGCTCCACAGTTTAGTGGCTACAATCAACATGATTCTCAAGTTAGTCATTCTCTCTAATGTGTAGAATGGTGCATAATTGAGCAAATGGTTTACTCCTGGCATTCCTCTTTGTGTGTATGATGTATTAAATATTGTTTCAGGAACTGCTTGCTTTCTTATTAGATGGGCTACATGAAGATTTGAATAAGGTGAAACGAAAACCATACATTGAACTCAAAGATTCTGACAGTCGTCCGGATGATGAGGTTGCTGAAGAGCTTTGGAACTATCATAAGGCTCGGAATGATTCTGTAATAGTTAACGTCTGCCAAGTAAGTATCTCGTACGATTTTATTAATCCTCAGTGTCTTTTATGTTCCGGAGTCCTGATCGTTTCTTATGCTCTATTCGGTTTCTTCCAGGGACAATACAAGTCAACTTTGATTTGTCCAGTTTGTGGGAAAATATCAATCACTTTTGACCCCTTCATGTACTTGTCTTTACCTTTGCCATCAACGCTTACGCGGCAAATAACAGTTACGGTGTTTTATTGCGATGGAAGTCATCTTCCGATGCCATACACTGTAACAGTACCTAAATATGGATCATGCAGAGATCTTATTACTGCGTTAGGTACTGCTTGTTGCTTAACCAATGACGAGAGCCTTTTACTTGCAGAGGTATGACTCTTGGCGCGTTTTTTTATAATATCAATTTTTTTATTTTGCTGAATTCCCTCAGTAATTTGTGGCATTACCCTCTCAGGTATATGACCACAAGGTCTTTAGATACTTTGAGAATCCCCTGGAGTCGGTGAGTTTGATAAAAGATGATGAGCATATTGTGGCTTATCGGATGAAGCAGATGCAGAAAGGATCTGGAATAGCAAAACTTGAAATCCTTCATGGAGGGCAGGAAAGGTGAGCGTGCTGGGTTAATTTCTTACTCAAGATTTCTTCTTGATGGGTCATAACTCTTGGATTCCACAGGGCTGTTCTGGAGAGTGTTAAACGCAGAGACGTGAAGCTTTTCGGGACTCCTTTTGTCACTTATGTCAGCACAGAACCACTGAGTGGATCTGACGTTGATGCAGTGATCTCTGGATTTCTGTCCCCGCTACACAGGGTTCAAGCTTCATCTAAGATTCACAACGGAAGAGAAAATGGCCACCTTCCTAATGCTGCTACTGACGAAGCATCTGGAAGTATATCATCCCCAGATACTGAGATAGATGATGCATGTGATAGAGAGTTATCCTTCAGGATCTTTTTGACAGATGAGCGTGGTTTGGACTTCAAACCACTTAAGTCTGATTCGTTTCTGAAACCTGGTATCGTTACAAGGGTTTTAGTAGAATGGAATGAGGGTGAGCATGAAAACTACGATTCCAGCTACTTAAGTGACCTTCCAGAAGTTCATAAAACAAGTTTCTCTGCAAAAAAGACACGGCAAGAAGCGATATCTCTGTTTTCGTGCTTGGAAGCCTTCTTAGCAGAGGAGCCTTTGGGACCAGATGACATGTGGTATAATAGCTCGTAGCTTGAACTGGTGATTGCATAAAGATGATCTATACATTTGAAAATATAAGCTCTGACATTCTTTCTCACTATTGTGAACCAGGTTTTGTCCGGGATGCAAAGAACACAGACAAGCGAACAAAAAGCTTGACCTGTGGAAGCTACCAGATATTCTCGTGTTCCATTTAAAAAGGTTCACGTATAGCAGATATCTCAAGAACAAGATAGAGACGTTTGTGGACTTCCCAATAAACGATCTAGACTTGAGCAAGTACGTGAAAAACAAGAATGGCCAGTCCTACTTATATGAGCTGTATGCAGTGAGTAACCATTACGGTGGACTTGGTGGTGGCCACTACACTGCCTACGCTAAGGTCGGTTACTTGATTGTCCTCACTATCTGTTCCTATTAATGCTTCTGATCAGTCCTTTATCTAAGCATACGTGTCACTGTTTCTGCAGTTGATTGATGACAACAAATGGCATCATTTTGACGACAGCCACGTTTCATCTGTAAATGAATCTGAGATCAAAAACTCAGCGGCATATGTTCTATTCTACCGAAGAGTTGGAAGTAAAACAGAGACACAATCAGCTGAGGTGTTGATGGGTGATATGGATTAGTCAAGCCTTAACTTACATAATGGGCTGCTGCATTGGTTGAAAGATGCATTGGTCAAGTTCACGCTATCCTTTTTTTTTTAAATTCAAACTGGTGGGTTCGGTTGAAGAGTTCTGCTTCAGATTTTATGATGTTATTATGGCAGATCTCTGTGGAACGGAGTGTGGGATTTAGGTTCGGAGAGATTGTTTAATTAGAGAACTCTCGAAGCTGAGGGGGTAATTTTTTGAAAAGGGGACCAATCAATGAACAGATTTAGAGATAAGAGTTTGTGGAGTAGCCTTTGTCAAATATGTAGCACTCCACTAAGATCTGTATCTCTTCGGGACTTGGGGAGACGCATAAAGAATCTGTTTAATACTACAAAGTTTACATTGGAAAATATTACTTTGTAGCTTGTGAAGATCATATTGATGATACTCTTATGAGGAATTTTTCTTTATTTGAAATTATCAATTAGGAATGTGAAAATTAATAATGCTTACTATAACGTGGTTTCTCAAGGTCAGTAAATGTCAGGTGACAATATGCCTGTTAGTTTTATAAACGTTGCGACCGGCGGTAGCGTGTCTGTTGCGGACTGCTTTTTGGTTTGAACACATCGAATTTGTTGCTCTCGTAGGTAGGTTTATTTCTCTAGTCGCCGGCTTTTATAAAACCAATAGGCCTAATGTATGTAGCAAGTTAGTTGTCTGAGCCAAACCCTTTAATTATAAGTTCATTAGAAGGACCAGATGGTTAGTCTCTCAAACAACTTATGGAGGCGGAATCTATATTGTTTAAAAACACAGCGACAAATAATTATCTTCGTCCCATATCATAAAAAACATGAATAATATCTTGTTAAATAGAGGAGAAAACAGCAGATCAATTGCCGTGCTTAGTAACCTGAGCTTGTAATCCTAGTGGAGGCTGTAAGGGTATTGGACTGTTGTTGGTTTATCTTGATTGGTAGGGGGTGCATACAGATCCTTAACTCTGCGTGTTGGAATTGGGTTCAAACGAATATGTCCTTGATCCGAGCAGTAAGTGGAAACAGAGGTATAGGCTTAAGGTCTAGGGTCAGTACGAGTGTCGGGTTTGATCAGCCTGATTTCCCTCTACTTAACAGAGCAATCACAACTGTACATTACTTTTTCTTTTCCTTTTCTCAATGTAAGACTTTTATGCATTGCATATCACACTGGGTTTCAAACAACTATGTTTAATGTTTAGTTTATTAACATTATTTAATAGTAGTTTATGTGAATGAATTTGGCTCATCATGTAATCAATAACAAGAATATGTGTAGTTGGAGAAAGCTAAGTTGGCAAAGGAAAAAAAAAGGACCTAACCGACATCTTCATATAAATAAAGAGGAAGTGGCTTGAAGGAGGACATTCATAAACACACCATCTTTCTGTTATTGCAGCAGGATGTCATAGCACATGGTCATGGTCGTGCACACCATGTGTTAAAATGGGCTTTTGCCACATGCCCCCATTTTCAAAATGCTAATTATAGTGTAGTAGTGGTAGAGTGGCGTTGATGAGTAAGAAAGGGCCCCTGGTTCAATTATTCCTTCTATACAAACTTTTCCTCAGGCCTCATCTAACCTAATCACGCCAATATACTAGCAACTTGGAAGACATCCATCACAAGAGCTTATTTTAGCAGACGGATTAAGCCAAACTAGTTGCCCCATCTGATTACGGAGGAGGCCTCGTGAATCTATAGAAAGCTGCAAAACCAGGTCTTATATACAACATGACTACATCTTGTACTTGTACGATTACAGTGACACCTCCATTATAAAGATATGTGAGTTAATAAAAAAAGTCCCACATCGGAAGTTTAAACAAAAAGTGTAAGTATACTAGTTATGTGAACATGTCTTGAAAAAACCCTAATGCTCTGACGGCGACACCCATGGCGATACGGAGATACACGGCGTTCCTGCATCGGACTGCATAGATCTACTCCGATTCCAGAGATAGACCACGTCGGGGCTTCTGTTTCACCTTCGCTGGCTGGTGGTGTGTTTTAACTGTCTCCAGAGATAGGACACGGATTGATCTTTGTCAATTCCTTGTCTTACACGGTTTGATCTACGGGCTGGGAACGGCGGTTCTGTTCATCGTTGTGCCCTAGGTTTCACAGTGACACTTTCATACGATCTCCTTCGAGATCTCTGAAGGCTGTTCATCGTTGTTCTCGTGAGAGTTAGATCATCTGCTATCATACCTGTCGAGCCTTGACGTCGGGGTTTCTGTGTGGAGTTCTTCACGTTGTTCATCGTTGTTCACGTGCGTCTGTTTTGTGATTTCTGATCAAAACAGAGTATCTCTCTTTGAGTATTGTCTATCGTTGACTACTTCGTTTGGATCCTTTGATCCGGACTTTATTGGTTGGTTTTGATTTCTTGGATCAGTCCCTCTGTCTTATCATATTTAAAACAGAATATTGATCCGAGTATGAGTTCGTTGGTAAGGACATGAGATGTAAAAGGAAAGGGAATTATGAGCATTCCCGAGGAAGTGCCATTTCAGCTACTTGACGACGAGGACTCACATGTGGCTCAAGAGTTCGGGCTTTCGTTGATTGGGAAGATACTAAATCCGAGGAAACAAAAGGTTGAGAAACTAATCAACTACATGCCGACTCAGTGGGGTATGCAGGATCGTATTACTGCGAATGATTTGGGCAATGGAAAGTTCTTGTTAAACTTTACTACGGAAGCAGATCTTAATGAAGGTCTACGACAAGGCCCTTTTCACTTTAACTTCTACATGTTCGTGTTAGTGAGGTGGGAGCCTATTGTGCACGATGATTACTCCTGGACTATCCCCTTCTGGGTAACTACAACTGGAGTGCCATTTGCACTTGTGGACAGTTAAGAACTTGCGAGGTCTTGGGAATTCTTTGGGGCGCGTTGATACGCTCGAGCTTGAGGAGGGACGGATGCTGATCGAGACTGACACACGCAAGCCACTAAAGTTCACAAGAATGGCGACTAACTCCGAAGGTGATGAAGTTACAATCAAGTTATCCTATGATCCGCTCTTCAAACATTGTACTACTTGTGGCTTCTTGACCCATGAGAAGGACCATTGTCCTTTGAAACCACAACAAAACTCTGTATTTGCTCGGGTGGAGAAACCAAAGGAACGTCACGATCTTAACATGAGGCTGAAGTTTAATTCTTCCACTTCTGCGGATACAAATAAGCAACATAACGCTGCTCATAATGCCAAGGAGGAACATCAATATATCGGTGATCATAATGTCATGCATCCTTCTCGTCATTCCAAGGAGGAACATCAACGTTCCGGTAAAAGCTCGAGAATTTTCAACAGTAAAGAGTCTGTCCCCCTGAAACATGATTCAGAGCGACAACAGAGTGACATGGTGTTTAGGCGAAGAAATGAGAAGCAGAGTAACAGAAACGTTCAGTACCCTTATAATCATAATGCTAACCGTCGATGGGAGAAGTCTTATGATATCTCTGCGGGTGACACTGCAAGTAGGATATCAATGGAGCAACGGTCTATCAATATGAGAACGGAGCGCAGGCGTGGAGGGGAGGCAACAAATTGGAGAGGTACCGGAAGCCATCACAGTTCTGGTATGTCTAAGAGAAGTGATAAGATGGAATGGAGAGAGAAGAGCTTGAGTAGACAATGTCTGTCCTCTGATCGGGAGATCCATGCGGATCATCAATTAGCCGAAGCGATTGATTCGCATGTTGAGCAACTCACTACAGATAACAGAGGTGTTCGTTCTCCTCGAACACACCACAACGATGCTCCACGGCATAACATTAGGGAGAGGAATTCACGTGAGAAGGCTGCTGTTGCGCGGTCCGATGTTGATGAGGTTCGTTCTGATCATAAGACTTCTGAACCTGTTGGGATGGGAAGTTCACGTGTTGCAGAGTATTCGTATAACCAAGAGTATTCGCGGGACAACGAAGCTCTGTTGCACAATGCGCAGGACCACAATGCCGAGCCCCCAGAGGTATATGCGCATCCACAGAAGAAACGGCTAGCAAGTAAGATCGCATCTCCAAACATGCAGGATAATGTGACAGTTCGGCCAAGAAGTGTCGTATGTTCTTTGACGTATCACACGGATTTTGCTGAGACTGAGGAAGATGATGCCCGTGTAATTGACGCTTTATCTGATATGGGACCTTTGTCACATGAGGAGGATGGAAATATGGATGTGGAGGATGATCTGTTTGATGAGGAGCTCTTGGAGTTGGAGGCACATGTAACACAGCATAGTTCACACCGAATGGAGAAAGGGAGTAGCTCAAGAAGTTTGAAAGGTGTAAAGACTGGGAACAAACGTACTCCTAGGAAGAAAGAGGTTCTCCGTCGGGGATCTCCACGGTTACGAGTTCTAAATTCCACTTCTCAGAAGCACACTGGTGGAAAGGCTAAACCAAAATTTCTTAGCCATAATGCTAAGGAAGATCGGTCTAAGACAAAGAAATCAAGTGGTTTGATGGGATCCAAAAACCCATCCCACCTGTATCCATGAGGACACTCAGTTGGAACTGTCGAGGGATTGGGACTGACCTCACAGTTCGACGCCTTACGGAGATGTGTCAGAAGCATCGCCCAGGACTAGTGTTCCTTTCTGAAACAATGAACAGGAGGCTTCTGTTGCAAGACATTCAGGCCGACTTAGGATATGACCGTTTGTATACCGTTGAGCCATGTGGTCTCAGCGGTGGTTTAGCTTTATTTTTTATGGATGATTTTCAAGTTAAAATTTTATTTTCGAATAACAGAATGATTGACATTGAGGCAGTCATTGATGGAATAAAATTCTACATGACATTTGTTTATGGGGATCCTGTAATTGAAAGAAGAGATTTAGTTTGGGAACGTCTTACGCGTTTCTCAACAACAAGAGATGGTCCTTGGTTTATGATTGATGATTTTAATGAAATTACTTGTCATGAAGAGAAGGAAGGTGGCAGACAACACACTGATAGCTCTTTCTTGCCTTTCAAGCAGATGCTCAGTGACTGTGGCATGCTGGATTTCCCTTTCACAGGAAATATGCTTTCATGGGTGGGAAGGAGAGCAGGAAATGCTACTGTTAGATGTCGGCTAGACATGGCTGTGGGTAATGAGAACTGACATGAGAATTTTCCTCATTCTAAAGTTCAGTATATGAGGCTTTGGGGTTCGGATCATCGTCCACTCCTGGCTGACATTCTTAAAAAGAAGCCACGGAGATCGAAAATTTTTAAATTTGATAAACGTTGGCTTCAGAATGAGGAGCTCAGACATATTATACTTGAAGGATGGAAATCACCTGATTTACCACCAGGAGCAAGTATTATGGAGCACATTACAAGTTGCAGGCGGGCGTTATGTGATTGGAAAAGACAACACAATCTGAATTCAGAGAACAGTATAGAGGAGTTAAAGGAAAAAGTAGATCGACTATCCTCCAACGATGATGCCACTACAGAGGAG